GATGTGGCCCACACACTGAAGCAGCTGGTGGCTGCCAGGCTGAGCCTGAGTGAGGAGCAGGTCGAGGACTATTTCTTCCAGCTGAAGGTATGGCAGCCGGGGTGCAGGCCAGGGATGCAGGTCAGGGGCCTGGGCCAGGGAGCCAGGACCAGGGGAGTCAGGCTCAGCACAGTGGTGGACGTCTAAGGAATCCTAGAGGTGGTGGAGGTCAGAGCTGGAGGGGCTGTCAGAAGCTTGGCGGTGCAGCCCAGTCTGGTTGCTCAGTAAACAAAGGCTGACACGCTGCTTTACCATAAGACGTTCAGAGCCTCTAACAGGCTCCTGTGCAGAGTGACGCTGCTTCTAAACTTGGAGAAAGTATGTAGCATTCACCAAACGTGTATATGTAACTGCTCACATTTCCGGGAGCTTCCTGTAGACAGAGCACTAGGCCAGCTATTCTGTCCACCATAAAGCCTGGAAAGATGTTTAGGAGATCCCCGCCTGAGCAGGCAGAGGGGGGGTTAACGATTCTAAGTGAGGTTCAAGCATGATCCAAGCGTGACAATTGGGAAGAGAAATGGCTCATGAGTGTAGGAGTGATGGGGAAGCTGGGGAACCCCAGGAGCTCATTCTAGCCTGGACCTGATGAACGAGAGGTGGCTGGACCAGCAGGACTGACCCGGTGATCCTTGTCCCTTAAAGAGCCAGAAGCGCTATCATGAAGACATCTTCAGTGCTGTGTTTCCCTACAAGATGAAAAAGGATGGGGCAGCGGGACAGCCTAGTGATCCCAGAGCTCCAACAGCCCACAGGAGAAGTTAAAGGTGCTGCCGAGAATTGCAGGATGGAGCCAACTCTCCATTATCTGACATCACAGGGTCTGGGGAGATGGTGGGAAATTATATCCCCAAGTCTCCCGTCTTATTACCCCATGTCCTTCCCCTTTACTTGACTTGCTACCGAGTAGCAGCCTGCACTGAGTGGAACCTGTTGTCTCCTTTGAGCCCACCCTTCCCCGGCTCATGGGGAACTGGGTTGTCCCTGGTCCCTTGGAGAGAAGATCTGCAATGTCAGGCCTGGCCAGTGGGTGAGGATGGATCCTTCTTCTGATTGCACCTCTAGGAGGGACCACCAGGAGGTGACGACGGGCCACTCTGTGTTTAGCCTGGCCCTTCTCCCCATGTACAGTTATTTATGCCCTTGTATTTAAAAAAGCAAACACTAGTCAGCTCCTGAGGCTGTTTAGGCCTTTCATGTATGACTCCTTGATGGAGATATTTATATGAAATACATTTTATTTTAATCACATTGTTTGTGTTGTATTTTATAAGGGGAGCAACCCTAAGTTATTTAGACTTGGAGACTGTTGGGTGCAGCAGCCTGGACCAAAAAAAACCCCAAAATACCCACAAAGGGATGTGCCAGCTTGACCTGAAATGCATAGGCGGGCAGCACACATGCACCTCTGACAACCCGGGATGGAGGGAGGGAACACAGGCCTCAGCTGAGCCCCACACAGGAGGCATCTCCCGTGGGCGATGGGTGGGGGGATGCCAGCTCTTTAGTGGAGGCCTGAGCACAGCCTGTCTTACAGTCTCTGTGTTTTGCTCTGGGGCCTCCAGCTTCATGAGAGTTTGGCTAATAACGATTGGGCACCTGGATGACAGCCCGTGAGGTGGGGCTAAGGGTCAAGGGCATGGCAGTGAGTGAAGGACACACATGTCCCCCGGGGAAGGCTGCTGAAGGGACTGAGCCATGTTTCCTGCTCTCAGGGGGAACCAGGAAGGCACTCAGCCAGGGCTAAGTGGGGACTGGCAAAATCTGGCTCCCAGCTTGGGTTTGGCCTCTGATTCATTGGCTCCCTGGCCTCCCTACTCAGATGGGGTGATGGGGGCGGGTGAAGGGGACATGCCAACCTACAGGGTCCCTCAGGTGGTCAAGAACATGGTCACCTGGACCGGTGACTCTCATGCTTTCATACAGGCAACCTCCTGGGATCTCCTTCCAGTGTAGACTCTGATTCAGGTCTGTGGCTGGCCCCAGAGTCGGCACTATAACAAGCTCCAGGTGCTGTAGATACTGCTGGTTCCAGGACTACACTTTGAGCCAGCACCCTGGTTCCTGAGGCCCTGGATTCTTCATGAGATTAGCAGGACGTGGGCACGGACCTGGGTCCCTCGCACTGGCCAGGGGCTGGCAGAACCCCCCACTGAGCCACTTTCCCACCTCACTAACCCCTAGTGCCGGGGCCCACAGTGGAACCACACACACAAGTCTTTCATCTGAGTCAGCTCCTCCTGACTCCAGCTGCCACCTCCTCCCACTGGGACACGGGGCTCTGATGAGCCGGCCCTGCCATCAGCCTTCCTGGCCCTCCAGGCTCTGGTCCTCCAGGCTCTGGCCCAGCCCTTGGCCCACCTCAGGAGCTTGGGGCTGTTTCCTGGTTCACCTCTGTTATCAGGTTTCCTGTCAGAGATCCTGTCCATAAAGCTGAGGCTGGCTGCTCTCTCCCACACCTTGTGGGATTTTGGGGGACCCACTGAAAGCAGAAATGGATCTGCACCCCCGTCCCCATCAAAGTGACCCTATGCTCTCTCCTTGGCCAGGACACCCTGATCCCAGACACCAGCATGTCTCCAAACACATTGAATAAACCACAATCACGCTGTGAATATGTGCCAACCCCGAGTTTTCTTTCTCTCTTTATTTGAAGGGCACTAGGAAAGGGGGCATCCAGCTGCAAAAGCTCAGAGGGTGGAGACCAGCAGGTGTCAATCGGTCACGTTCCTGGAGTGGGGGAAGGATTGGTACAGGCTGAAAGCAAAGGTTAAAGGTTGGAGAAAGAGGAGGGGCTGAGGAGACCACCTCCCAGGGGAGTAACCAGCTGGTGGCTGGAGCCTGAGATGGAATTGAATGGAGGGTGGGGATGGGGTCAAGAGGTAGATGAGGGGTGGGCCCGGGCTGGGAGCTTGGGAAGCCCACGATGCTCCCTTTCTGCTGAGGGGACTGAA